GTGTGTGTGTGTGTGTGTGTGTGTGTGTGTGTGTGTGTGTGTGTGTGCGCGCGCTCTGAACACCAGGTAGATTGCCATCTCGCTGGATATCAGCAGCTTGTGTCTCTAACCAGCTCAAAGAGGGTAAACCCCCCCCCCCCTCTCAAAGCTGTACCCCCCCAGGGTGTAATTTTCACCTTTAGTTGGAGGTGACTGCGGTGGAAATAAAGGAAACACCTCTCTGCCACAAATAGACAGCAGCAGCTCTCCCTCGCTGCAGCTTTGTGCTAATTTTTAAATTCCCCACTCGGTGATTATAAAGCTTTTACCTCAGTGCTGATGTAAAATAATGGAAATTGTAAAGTAATAATGATTATAACTAAGAGACGGTTCACACGTATTTACAGACGCAGAGGACTCTGGAGCAGATGTGGTGCCAACACTTTTAATTTTCATCTTTTGTTAATGAACCTAAAGGGGGGGGGGGTGAGAGTATGACATCATGTTCAGTATCTTCTGCTTTCAATATTTAAATACACGCATCCGGCTGGTTTCACCTTCTTCGTTTGATGGATGAGTTTTGTGTTATTATATGTGTAGTTATTTTCAGTGGCATTTGGTGCTTTAAGCTTTGTTTATAGTGGTGCCCAGAAGGGGGCAGAGCCTCTCTATGTATGAAGGAGTTTATGTTCCTTTAGTTTCTCCAAAAACCAGAGGAAGTATGAAAAATAAATGTTCTGTGAAGAAGCAAGAAAACAAGGAGTGTATCCGGTAAAACTTCTTTAACCCAAACTCCACGATGCACAGGAGGAATGATAACTGTAAACTCTCTAAATCTCATATTCATGAACTACTTTATTACTTTCATACAAACCCTGTAAAGAAATAAGTTAAGTATTAAATGTTTTATAAAGAAACAAAGGAGCAATATCCTGTAAATTATTTGATTTGAAATGTAGATTTCTTTTGAGACCTCCTGTTTCTCCCAAAGACGTTCGGTTGAGTCTGAGAGGACGAAAGAAACCAGAAAATATTCACATTGAAGAAGCGATGATCGATCATCAGAAGATCTGCTGATTGATATCATCGTGAAACTAATCGAGGAATCGTTCACTCCATGGTGTGTGTGTGTGTGTGTGTGTGTGTGTGTGTGTGTGTGTGTGTGTGTGCGCGTGTGTGTGTGTGCGTGCGTGTGTGTGTGCGCGTGTGTCGGCGTGTCGGCATCAGTCCACCTACAGATGGTCAGACTCTCACTCGTCTGTCACACTCTGATTGGCTGCTTCGCTGCTGCTGGAAGCTTCTGAATCAAACCTGACAGACATTTCACAGGACAACACACACACACAGGACAGTATGGCACATATAGGAAGAACAGTATAGCAATAATATGTGACATGAAATACCAGAGAAGATTAGATTTGATGAATTCACTGATACATTAAAAACAGAGCGTTATGAGAATAGTATAGAAATAATACAACAAATATAATAGTGTTTAATAAACCTGATTTATTTGAAGTTTAAAGATGATTTCAGTTTAGTTTATTAGATAAACTAAATCAACATATCAAATATCAAACCTATGAAGTATCAATGAAGTATAAATATCGCCTACTCGTCATCACAAGCAGCTCAACTGTTAAACTTCTACCGATGGATCAATGAATCTTTTGTTGTGTGACATTATGAACGGAATTATGAAGTCTGAGGAAATCTATTGATCGCATTAGTAAAAGTATTTATTATTATTGTTTGTTTTTCTTGGCATCCTAAATTCACAGAAATCCCAAAAATATAAACCTGCAATGAGAAATACGGAAGCTTCGGATTCAGATCGAGAGAATTCTTTAAATTATTCACGTTTGTTGGTAAAAGACTTAAACTATGAGGACGTATCGTGGACAGTTCAAATAAATCATTAGACGTTACAGCGATGGGGGAACGGGGTAATATTCAGAGAATAAACTTCAAATTATCAGAGATTCAAGTGGTACTTTTTTGAGAAAAACACAACTTTGAACTTCAAAAAAACTTGATTATTCTCTGAGATTATAAAGTTACAGATTTACAGAAAAAAGTTTTTCGGCTGCAGTGGAAGACTTAATCAAATTATGCTTTAAAATCATATTTATCGATTAGGAAATAGTCAGA